AGCAAAAACCCTCCAGAATGTCATCTAAATATGTGAGAATCTTTAACCTTAAACTCCAAATAGATTTTCTAAAAGCCCTACCTAAAGGCATCTTATTTTGCTTTCAGTTGCCTACAGTAAATAATTCTAAAACCAAGTTATGGTACCTCCATTTGAGGATCATCAACAAAAAATAATTAGAATGCAGGATTGATTAGTGTACAGATTATGAACTTCATCAGAGAGAACAGGTAGACAAAGAGTAGCACAGCAACTGTCTAGAACATGAGAGCTAAAGGAAGGTATTAAAAGAAGGTAAAAAGATTAAAGATTATGATACAGATACCACAGTCTTAAACACAGTTTGAAAGACAGATTTTTCTTTTTTTGCCCATTATATAACATAATCTCATGGTTCACAGGCCAGTGAGAATAAGTTTAAATCTAGAAGAAGGGATTTCAAGTAGAACGAAGGAAAACAGGCTCACGAGAGACTCTACTCACATTTAGAAAAGGCGACTGTCAGCTCGATACTTCAGCTGACTTTTTTTTCCTTTAGCCAATAAACATGGTTTGCAACATGCTTTTTATCTATATATCCATCTGTCTCTAAGAGAATAACTTCATGAAAAAGTATCCTTTCTGCCGATGTAATAAGTAAAATGAGAACCTCATTCTTAAGCTTTTCCACCTACTTATATAAGCTAAACAAATAGTGACTTTCATTAAAAACTATTTTTATTTTATTATAGCAATCTTTTAAAGGTCCTGGAAGTTCACTGTCTTCTGCAATTTCTTGTATCAGTTTAGAGTCACTCTCTGACAACATTTGATAACCATGCTGCTTTCTAAAACATGCAGAAACTTGACTGTAAGTCCAGAAACAGAAAATATTTAAAATTCCAACCGTCTAATGTCTAATCTAATGACTCTTCTGAACTGTGTCAATTCACTTTGTTTTTAATGTTAATGGCCTGCATCTGTTGCCATATTTTAACCCTCCAACAGGGATGTTCTGCTCTATATTTCAATCCATCCTAAATTCTTCTTGTATGGCCAAGAACGGACTTGCCCATAGCTATAGTTGCAAGTAGCTCAGTCTTAAAAGCCGTACAGTGGTGTTACTCAGAAAGTGAAGGCAGGAAATAAAAATAGACTCCTTAAAAATCTGCATGACAGAAATACAGGAGAGTTTGAGATTGAAGGCAGCGATTCTCTTGTCTGCCCACCTTGCTATCCTTGTCCGGTTTAGCGACGGCAGCATTTCCACCGGCTCCTGACGTGTTATCCGGGGACGCAGGGGCTCCAGGGTGAGCGTTCACAGCTCTCCCACCGCCGTCTCCCTCCACAGCGGGAGGGCTAACGCTGGGGGAGCCCAAGGAAGCTGCTGCTGCTGCACACGCCAGCGGCACGGCCGAGCGGCTCACGTTCACAGCAGTGACGTAGGCCGCCGTGCTCGAGTGCGGAGGCTGGAGCTGCTGGGAAGCAGCCGAGTGGTGCGGGATGATCACGGCAGCAGGAATAAGGCACGTTGAGCTCTGTGCCTGTATGGGCGTCACCGCTGCCGTGGGTCTTTCCTGACTGTGCGCAGCAACTAGAACAGAGGAAGAAAATGCAAGAGAATTAATATTTTCACAGGACACATTACAAGTGAGGTACAGTCGCTGTATTTAATTGTACAGTCAATTAAAATCCTAAGAGGCTTCTTTCCTACCATTCTCTTAGGTAATACATTACTGCCGTGTCACATGGCATCAAATTTATCTCACCAGAATAAAGAGTGCCTGGTATTCTACTTGTACCAGTAAGCAACAGCATAACTACAGACCTGTAACTATTATGAAGGTTATCTATGCTGCTGAGACAAATGCTTCATGTATGAATAGAGATGCAAAATGAAGRCTACATTTTAGGTCATAAGAGGCAGTTAAATCCTGTGTGCAACTTGTTTGCTCGTTTAAATATGCTGCATAGTTGTCAGGGCACATAAAACAATGTAGGAAGGAACACTCCTTATAGAAGCTGCTAAAAATATAATTGGATTGTTTTCCCTAAACTATTCAGTAAATCCACAACAGATTTAGTGGGTCTTTCAAACAATAMGCACAGTGGCAATTACTGCTATGAGTGGTTTCTTTGAAAATGTAAGCTATTGTCTCCTGGGATGTTTAAATATAGAAGTAGATTTACTCATACCCTGTGAAATAAAAGAAACATCTACACTGGAAGTTGCATAGGGCTGAATAAACTAACCTTGCTACAACCTAGCTACATAGAACAGAGTTCTGCATGAACAAATTTGTCCATCCCAAAAAGCATATGTTTAAGTGGTCAACAGCACTTGCATTAGGTCATTGGAAGAGTTCAAGTATTTTTATACCACTAAGTGAAATAAACTGTAGACATCTTACCTGAAYAATATGAGGCAGAACGCAGCATCCCAGTACTGCACAGCCTCTTCCTCYCAATATGGGATGGGAAGAGGCATCCCTTAGGTTGGTGCATGCACTTCTTAAATATCAGTTCACTCTGATATTTCAAATGCTAATTGGAGCTTCAGGCTAGCTGTAAGCAATACCCTGGAATCAAGTCTCTASTGCTTGCTCTCTTTATTCTGCTCTCTTCACTAATTCCCCTGATTGCTTGGTTAGATTGAGCCAACAGTGTACTAGCAARCACTGACATAGTTCACGGACTTGATACAACAATCCTATAACTTAAATTATAACCAAGTACAATGTGTAAGATAAGAAACAACGTGTAAGTCCTTTTCAAGAAGAAACCACAACTAAATGCTATGTATAATTTTGTGATACATACCCTTCTCCTCTCTGCCACAGACCCTTTTAAACCCCAAGCACTAAAAGTGTTTTAGATAGGAAGGTTAGGAGGACAGCAGCAATGCAAGGAGAAGTTCTGGTTAAAACAGATTATTGCTGCTGTCTGTTGATTATACGACAAAGTCAGCTTTCTTAAAAATAGCTGCTGTTCTTCAGGATACAACTATACTTGCATGCAAACAATAATGGTACAGGTATGTATAACTTTCTTTTCCTCTTTTCTTATCCCCAATCCAGAAGAAGAATTGATCAGGCAGGGTGCACATTATCCTTCCTGGCTCCTTTCAAATGAAGAAAAAACACTGGACTCCTCAGTAGCTGATGGCAGGCAATGGCTTACTAAACTCATTTGAAGTAGAGTCTAAACTAAACTGGAACCAAAGAACAGGCCTGCACAGTGCATCTTTGAAACTTCGACTACAGAATAATGCTCAGCAAAGGTATTTGGATATTTGGGGAAACTCAAGACAATCACATTGCACATGCTGACTATAAAATTTTCTGCAATATTTGAACATAAAGCATCCATTATTGCTTCACTTTAATTAAATGGGCCATAATACAGAACAGAACTCTGCATCTCCCAGAAGGACACCTTTACACTGCAATCCAATGTAAAGCTCCCCATGAAGAGATGGCAGCCCCTTTCATTCTTCCGTTTTGGACCTGGAAAGCTGGTTGTCATGTTTTCCAGCTGAATTGTAAGAACTTACTCATCTTGACAGAGCAGCACTGAGGAAGTGTAGGAACAGAAGGTCCTCTGGAGCCTGCAAGAGCTTTTTCCTTTGTGCTCTTACTTGGAAGCTCCTCAGCAGCACAAAGGAAGAATTTAGAGTAGAAAACACCTGCGTTTGAGAGGCAGCAATGTACATATGTTTTGCTTTATTTTCTCTTTCTGTCTGCCAATAGCACTTGGRCTCTTTCATTTCATGGTAAAGAATGAAGTTGTTGGACTGGATCAGATGCAATAGTCTTCTACAAGATCATACTGGCTGAAGATTGGGCCAATTCGGAAAATAAAGGTACTAAATAAAGACATCTCCAGATATYCTACCTTCAAAAATAAATCTAGTGCTGAACGTGCACATATTTTCTATAGGAATGAACAACTCTGAAGGAGACGTGGGCTAATTCATAGATCCTGAGACCATAATAATCATAATGATCCTCAAGGGGATAAAAGATTTGGATCTTTTATCTTCTCTTCAGTCCCTAAGAGCAAMTGGAATCCCTAAGGCTGTAATTGGGTGGTATTCTCCTAGCTTGGCATATCCACAGAGAAGCATATGAATTTGGTAAACAAAATATCTTGAAAGCAAAACTATGACTCTTTCTGGATCCAAATTTAAATAACAGGAGGTCACGTTTACTATGATACAGCCTTTCACAGCAGAGACAGAAACAGAACCATCAGGAAAACACAATTTTATGTAATAGATGGTTCACATCTTGAACGCGGCATAGTCATAAGTGTTTCAGATTCAAAGCCAGAAGTTACAGTCAATAGTTTAGAGAACAAACTGGAATGCCTCAAGACCAACCCCGAGCTAAAGCATTGAAAAAGAAGAAAGAAAAAATGCAAAAGGTCTTCAAAGCTGTTAGAAGAGAACTTAAACAAAGTGCCAAATAGAGAAATATGTATTTGTTATGCAGTTAACATTGTCTAAAAAATAAGCTATGACCAAGATGTCCTTATTTTTATTTCCACATCAACTGCATGAGTGGGGAAAGCTCAGACAATATGCCCCCATCACAGATAGTGTTAGAATAAAAAAAAAAGAACAAAAAAAACCCTGAAGTACTTGCATACAAATTCCCTACAGCAACAGCAGACATAGACTAGTACTTGAAAGAGATTGAGAGATGCAACATTCAGAACAATAAGCTAGGCATTTCATAAAGCATTCAGCTCTACAACATAACAACATTAAAAAGCCATTTTTTTTCCCTTTTAATGTAACAAATATTTATACAAAGCATGGCTACAGCTATCTTCTCAGATAGACTCTAGAGTTTGGCTCCTCCTTCCCTCACAAAATTTCTTTTTAAAATTATTACTATTATTACTACTATTATTATTACCTGTTCTAACCGCATTGCGAGCCTGGTTGACCGTCATTTGTCCTGTCATGTGCACAAGGACCTTAGTTTGCGGACTGGTTTGGATATGTGCTGCAGAAACCACAGCCGTGGGCACTGTGCTTGAGTTCACTGCCACACCATTTCCCTGGAGCTTCTGCGATGTCCCACTAGCTGTGGAAGGGCTGACCATCGTTACCACTCGTCCTGCTTGGGCAGCAGTAGACATGGGAACTTTTGTTTGGGACGCACTTGTCACTGTCCTGTCAAAATTCAAAATACAAAAGTGAAACACAACTGAAAAACGAGCTAGTCACTAAAGCTCACAGCTCTTCTATTACCTAGCTTTTAGGATTAAATACAAAATCATTTTGGACTTGAAATTAGGGAATTATTTATCYACCTGTATACAAACATACCTTGTAACTGGGGCCACGTAATTGCCAGGAAAAACACCAATCCTGCTTGTATGCATAGAAGTTCCTTTGAACCAACCATCTTGACAGCGTTCAAACACTAAGAACATTTCTCCCTTYCGCAGTTCCAGTTCATCATCTTTCCGAGGAGTGTATGGATATATAGCAATGTATCTAAATGAGAGACAAGCAGATGATTCTCAGGATATGCAACTACTAAGTGATGGTTTCTAATTGTTTTAGGCTTGTATTTTCTAGTTGAGAGAGAGTCTACAGACACATATGACAAGGCAAGGCAGAAAGCCTTATATATTTGGTGACTGATCACGCTGCTACAGTATTAAAACAGAAGTTCTGGCAATATTAGGGGAAATAATTGTTAAGAATATATTCCCAACTGTGCTTTAGTATCATATTTAATACTTCTAATAAGATCATTCATTTTCTTAAGTTAATGAATTTAATTAGTGTTTGTTGATGAGTTATCCCATCAACTCCTCCTTTTCTCTCAGTATGCTCATTTGCAGTATCTCCTCTTTGTGACAGGTCAGCTTCTTCTGTGGTGAGTACTGATCGTTGGAACTGAAAATATCACCATCAGAAATAGTTTCCAAAATGCAACGTCGAAACTCCCTGTATGCTCCACTCGATGCATCTCCCTGGAACCCCCAGATTCCCTGTAATAAGGGTTTTCTAGCAGGATCTCTCTGTGGTGCTAGAAAAAATGTGTGTTATTGGAACATGACATTAATGCATAAGATAGATATATCAGTTAAATAAAATCAGTTAAGGTAGATAAAGCTTATTTCCTTTTTTTTTTTTTTCTCCCCTAAGCAAAAATATTGAGAACCCTAACATAGTGAAAAATAATGGTGAGGGTTGATAAACTCCACCTCCACTTTTTAAGAGACTAAATACATATAAACATCCAGTATCTGAATTTCCCGCAATTACATGCTGGAAAAATTGCAACAGCAAAATTTCCTTTTATCACATTAAACAGAGACAGTGGTCTACTACTACAGCGTTCTGTTTTCTGCACAAGTTAAACATAAAACTTTTTAAACCTTAAAGCTTATACCCTTACTGACCCAGACCTTTTAGAAATTACATACTCTAATAAATCATATTTTCTCAAAAATAATACACTTTCACCAGAGGCAGACAATTAGGGTGGCTAATGAGCAAGTATACTATGCCCATCTTTTGAAAAACAATCTACAATTACTTGCACTGGTTGCCTTTTCATCCTTGCTACCCCAAGAATAAAAAGAAGCACTCTTCAGGAAAAAATGCCTCTTGGTCAGTAAGGGCTGTATTAACTGTACACTTCTCCCTTTCCCATTAGATCTTTGTTCTTTGCTGCTCGTGCAAGAACCTTGGCATTAACTGCAAAAATAATTTAAAGGCAACACAGTGGCAAAGATATGACACACTGGAAAGAAAAAGCTTTACTGGCACAAGATTTAGGAATGATCTATAAAGCTGCACAGTAAAGCTGCCTGTGAAAGTAGCTAATTGGTGTTCATTAACTTCACTTTTAGTTAAATCCGTCTAAATTTCCCTGGTATCCTCATATACAGCAGTGCTTCGAAGATGGAGAACAGAARTAAATGAGATGGGAACTTGATTAACTGCATTAAGCGTAGTAATCCATTAAAAAATAAAAATAAAAAAGCTGACATGCTGGATGCCAAAGAAACAGCCCAACCCAGATGCACCTGCTGCACAAGAAAGGCATTCTTTTGGAGTGGGAGGAAACCTGGCGGGAAGATAAAATAGAAGATACAGAACAAAAGTGGTCCTTGCATTATTCAAATGCCTTATTAGATGGTTCAACCTCTTCTGAATTTTATTTTTCCTTTTAACTTTCCTCTTCTCCAAACCACACACAAAGAAGCTTCCAAAAACGATGCTGTCAGTAGCACATGTTAATACACAAAATATTTTCACCCAGAAGGATGACGCACATTTCCTTGTATTACAAGCATGAAGACATAGTGCTAACTAGCAGCTTTCTGCCTTCATTCCCAATTGCCACCCCCTAATTAATGAATCCTCAATCAAACTGTACAATCCTCAATCAAATTTCACTCACAACTTGCAGAAGCAGCCTGACAATGTCATGCTAATATAACAGTCTAAATGACACACAGCGTTTGCTGTGTTTTGGCATAAGCTCTTCCACATGAGAACAGCCTTTTCATTCCATTCATAATAGAAAACATCAGATAAATTCACTCCAGGGYTTGCCACTTGCATGTACACAGTCTTCATTCCTAACGCAGGGATTCATTCATCTTCTGCATGATAAATACTTTTATTTTTTGAAGTGAGTACTTTCAATATGCAGCAACATCTGATTATATTTACCTAAGTCATAAATAGCCCTCAGCAACAAGGCTGTTTGGGGATAGCACCTTTATGTATGTTTTCTTGCTTTTGCTCCTCATTATAGGCATGGCTTTCTGGGAACGCTAGCAGAACACAGGCCAGCTGGCAAGAAATAAGTACGTGCACAGCTATTGATCTCATTCCATTTGTCTGACGGGCAACAAGTTGCAATTTTACTTACACACTCGGTCGACTTTGTGGTCGTAAATGTGCAATTGGGTCAGCTGGTCCTGCTGCAGGCCTTGGTGCTACCCCTGCAGAGGGAGGGCCAGAACCGGCTGATGCAACGATGGCAGCTGACAGGAGAGGTGGTGGTGGTGGAAGAGGGGGATTCATATTCTGACATAACGAGAACAACAACAAAAGAACAGCAACAGGTGATTTATATTGTTAGATGGGTTGAATCAGCTGCACAAAAGTATGACATGCTAACGGAATGAGAAGAACAGCTGAATTTTGTATTCCATTACCTACTTGTAAAGCTTAACTGCAAAGCTAGGCTTGTCTGTATTTCTCTTTTTCCAGTATAAAATATCGGAGTCTTGGGAGCTAATTAAGCAAATGGTGAGCAATCTCTCAGTGCAGAAGAAACCGACTACATTGTCTTTAATTATAGCATTTTTAGGAAGGACTTGACAAAAATTCATAAGCCTACCAGGAGGTAGATTTTACATCCTACTGCTGCCTGTACTTCAAAACACGATCGTTTTTRTAACCTGAAGCTGAAACATAATGCACAATTCAGCAGCAGTGCACCCCAAACCACCCCTTCTGGGGGAAAATTCCCTTTGATGTATGGGTTACAAAAGCAAGCACAATATGAGACCACAGCCACTGCACTATTGTTACCACTTTCGCCTATTCTTCTAGTTTAAAGCATTAGCTTTTGAAATTCAGTACTATCAAGACTGGTAATCTTTAACAAACACTCTAGTAAAAAGGCACAGTTCCTTTACGGGCAGATCCTAATGGGGGTTCTGCCTACAGGATTCTACTATGCCTTTTGAAAATCAATGGAGCAATTGTTACCTTCTGCTTTATAAAGCCATGGACAATTCTTTAGGACCTTGTGTACTGACACTCCTGGGAAAAGTTTCTCACAGAAGAACTTTCCCTTCCCCCTCTTTCAAAAATAATTCTTTAATTTACAACACACAAAGAGTGAGAACTTCAAATAAATATATACAAAATCAGAACGCAAAGCAGAAGCAATTTGTTTCATACACCATCTTTGATGTTGAGCAGTCCTTGCAATCTGAAAGAGATACCTCTGATCAATGTCACTGTTCACTTAAGGCTTAAAAAAATGACAAGACAAATATAAAGTAACTTAAGTATTGCTAGGCTCTTTCAGTTCATTGGCATACAAATGTATAGCACCATATTATAACTCTGAAATTACAAAGACTTTCCATTATATCCTCCTACCCCAAAGAGCTCAGTTGTGCACTACTTTGCTTGCTTTTCTGAACCAAAAATTTAAACCAAGTAGGTTGTAGTTCTGCTCTGCAGGGTTATTGCATCACTGCCTTTGGTGATCAAAAAAAGACAGTTCTGAAGTAGTCTTTCACTACCAAAATAAAGAGCTAAATGATCAAAACCTTAAAACACAGGGGAAAAAAAGGAAGAAAAAAAAGAAAAAAAAAAGAAAGAAAGATTGTCTGAAATAGCAAGTACAGTTTCAGTCAAAATTCCTATCCTCAACTACGGTATAAATAGCCAGGTAAATCTCAAAGTAAGAATATTAAAAAGTATTCTGCTTGTGTGTGAGAATTCCTTAACTGACTGCATCCAGCACAGCAGACAAGACCTGCTGAAGAAACATAATTACATCCTTTGATACTAACAATTTAGTTATTACAAAAACTACATTTGCTTCAGATTTTAGAACTCCATGCATCAAATAAGATTTTAAATGTATCCTGATATTACCAGAAACTTTTCTGTCTCAAATGGCTTTATAGAAGATATTATTCTCCTCTCCCTACTAGTTCAGATAAAGACAAGCAGAATACAAATACCTAACTTTTAGACAACCTCTCTTTAGAATACAAATCCAAATTTAGGTATCTAGATAATTCATACATGATAGAATGCATAAATCCACATTAGGACATAATCAGGTGGACATCTTTAAAATTAAGCCTACTCATGCACGGTTATCAAGGTGTCACAACTTCACTCCTTCAGTATGGCTGAAGATGCAAAGAGTGGACAGTATTTAATCGACGTGAATGCATAATGTATACAAAAGGTTATTAGCAGCAATAAAGCCACCTGCTCTATTCAGGTTCCGCTCCCTCCCTGTGTCTATTACTATGGTAATGAAACCTGCAGTGAGCTGCAGCCCAATTAAACTTCAAAAGATTTGGCAAGTGCTCAGAAATCCAAACAAACTACCTGATAGGCCTTAGAGGACAAGTGCTCCTCAGCTTGCACTGCTACAACTTAATAAAATTGTTCCAGAAAGCTTTAGCCAAGTTTAAGAACTCTGGCATATAGCCATTTTTGTAGATACCAAGAAACAAATCTACCTCTAGGGCACAAGCCAGTTTTGATTCATCCTGTGTTCAACTTTTATGTATTAAAAAAAATGCAAACCTCACATGATTTAATAAAACAGGTTTATTAAAATAATTTTAAGAGTATTTTCATTAATGTAGTTGAAGAGAAGGAGGGAGAAGCAACCTTCCTGCAACTACGCTTTAGCCAGAAAATGTACTCTTGAGCATACAAAACAGCATATAAAGCAAGTCCCTGAAATAAATGATCAAACTGTGTAATGCTTCACGTGTTTATGCAAAAACCTTCAACAAGTAGCTGTACTCATACTCAAGAAACTCATATACTTCTAAAGTTCAAATGCAGACTATGTTCCCAAATCAGTCAACTAGAGACCAATAATCAACTTATTCAGAGTAACAAACGGTAGAGAGCAGTGGAGCAGGGGGGAATCTACAATATTAATTGTCTTTCCTCCCAGAGCATCTAGGGAAAATACATGGCTTGTACCATCCCTGGTGGGCTAACAAATTAAGGCTCATGTTTTAAAACTATAACTGTATGTTTGGAAGTGGTGTCAGAACTCATCGCTTCTTTCAGYTGCTTCCTCCAGCCCACCAAACTGCCCAGAATTTCTGTCGCTTACAACTCAGAGTTGTCATTTAACACTCCTCCTGATTCATTTAGCACTATGGAATCAGCTGGAACCACATAAAAGAGACCTAAATGCCATCATTTTTGACTCATTACTAATACTTCAGACTATCTTCTGTGTAAACATACAGGGATGGTATTTTTCCTTCTAAGACAAAGACCAGAAGGAACACGATTTTGAATTTTGAAGCCTTTAACATGTAGGTGAATGTAAATCTTCTAAATACAGAGCACCTTTTCTTTTTCCTAACAATCGCACATATTATGATTCCATATCAAATTCAGTACATTCAATCTTAAAAGGGAACAATACACTCTCTGTCAACTATTGTCCAAATACTTCAAACTTCATATGGGAATATATAAAGGCAGAATTAAAGTAAGGTAAATTGTATGTTATCGTTCCACTCCTTGTGAAAGGAGCCTGACCTTGCTGTGATATATTCTTTCTCCGTTTCCTCCCCATATCACAGCTCGAAAGGCATATTTTGTTTAAGATTCTTTTGAGCAGAATCTGTGGCAACCAGAGCTCCTCCATTAGATAACGGCCTTATAAATCACATCCAAGAATTCCCTCTCAAGCAAATGAGGCTTGCATAATTGTGTGCACATATTTTCTCCCAACAACTGTCCAACTTGCTCTCTGCTACTTAGATTTTAAGAACTTCAAATATACTAAGCATCTACAAGTTCAGAAATGCCCGTGGCCAAGAAAAGAAGAGCAATTAATGCTCCTCCTAAGGATGAGTGAAGTGTGAAGATCCAACAAGTCTTCTAAGCGACACGAGCACACACAAAACCTCAACTGCAAGTAAAGTTGGTCTCAGGACATAGCTACTTTTATCTCAAAGAATTAAAAAGCCAGAAGAACTCAGATTAATTAAAGCTGCTGCTAAAAATCTAGTTTACTGCTGTAAAACAACACTTTTAAATAGATTATTGCAGGTTTTTTTTTGATTGTAAGCAAAATTTTACCTGTATGACAAGTAATAGATAAGGTCTGTGATCATCTAACAGTGTTTTCTTACTTGTCCCAACTTCAACTATAAAATGAAGCTGTAAATTACCTCATACAACTTTTGTTGTGAAATGGCATCTATAAAAGACTACTATAGACAAATTAAATAAAATAAAATTGGTATTTCTTGAATGATTGCACTGTTTCCAAAAAAAGCCCACTCTCAAAACATGATCATATACATGTACACAGATACCAGACTTGCAGGCTCCTTAATGCTAGAAATTCCTCTCCACTGTCTTACAGTGACTTACTTTCCAAACAATCGAGCTCAAAATATCTCCTCTTGAAAACAAATAGCTTGTTTTCTTACAGAGAGTAAGACAAGACAGTAGCTTTTCTTCATTTATAAGTCTGAAAAATGTATGAATTCAGAATTACAATGGAGGAAAAGATCCTCCTCTTTTTCACTGATTAGCAGTCATGCTCATGCTCTAATTCTTGTCTTCCCCCCTAGTCCAAGTTTGGTGGGAAGAAGTTACATCAAATGGCTTGTCTTCAGAAAGATGAAGTAGTACTATAAAAATCTCAAATAAGTAAAATATCTTCACACTTAAAATAAACTCCGAACTCTCCCTGTTGCAACGTGACTCCAAGCCATCTACTATCAATATATTATATTGTACAGTCACAAATAATCTGTAGCTTAAAATTAATCTTTAGCATGTTACAGAGCATATTTGCAGAAGGGCTAATCCTGAAAAACAAGAATATCATTTTCTATCTTGACCTATCAGAATTGTTCTGCAATTCCCCAAATTAAAACAAGAATTTATGAAGCAAGAGGAAAAGTGGAAATAAAAGTAGAGTTCACAGTCTGTAACTCCAAACTGCATCACCATCTAGTATCATCTAGAGGAAAAGAACACAGGAACCACACGACTGCAGGCTGTGCTGCCAGCTTGTATTTTATCTGTGCTGACTACAAGGCAAGAAGGAACGAACATTATGTACAAAATGTTACTGACTTTTAAAATATAGCAGTGCAAAGAAGGTGACAGACAATAACTCAAATTCTCCCTGGGAATTACATGCCTAATTGAAAACTTAACCAGGAACCAGGTTATCACACAGAAAAAGTATCTCCAGAGGACCTAAGACAATCATGCCCAGGAGTTTCACTCCATGTTGCATTTAGCACTGTTATTTAATCCCCATGGCTATCAGTGGCACGATCTTTTCTGAATCAACTTATGCAACTAAAGCACCCAAGGTTGCTTAGTAACTTGGCACTAATGCCAAAATAAAGTATTTTTCCATGTCGGGAATCCAAGAGAGAAGTTCTTATTTTTAATAACAAAGAAAAATGTTAGTCATGGGTTAGCAGGGGGTGGGGAATGGAGAAGCTACTTCTGACAAAAGCCTGGCAATCATGCTTTGAATCATGCCTACCTCACCCTCTCCAAGGCTGAATGTCCTCAGCCACAAATCAAATTTACTGCTGGATATTTGTAGCATACACAGTAGCTAGACTTATATTCTTCTTGACAGCAAAAATGACATTGATGCTAATTTGTTCAGTGTGTACAGATATTTAACTAGAACAGCATACAAGATATCTAAAAAAATACGAAAAAATAGCATGTAAGCAGCTAGTTGATTCTAGTATCAGATGCATACCTCTCCTGCAAGAAAATACCAATCTATATGTAAAAGGAGATTACTGATTGGTTCCAGATTAGCATTCTTTAACAGTAGCATTGCACAGATGGCCCACAGGCTGAGGGAGCGCTAAAGGACAAATGCTACAGAGCAACCGGCTTACTCAGTAACACAGGGCACAAGCATCCTGTGTATATAATTGTCAGCAACAAGGCCCTTGATCTGAAGAACGCACGCAACATCGTTACTTAGTTGCATGACAGCACCCACCACATCACCAGTGACGATGAAAACAATTGGTGGGATCCTAGTGAACATGGAGTTGAACATAAACTTGCAATGCTTCACACAGGACAAACGAATACATGCAAATTCTCAAGACACATATCAGTCTGGGGGAAAAAAAGGACTATGCTATCAATATTTTCACCATGAAAATGACTGTGCACTACTGTAAACAGTTCTGGAGTGAGTTTTAAGACAGATAATGAAACACTGAAGATGATTCAGAAAATAAAAGCGCAATTTAGATGACCAAAAATAATATCTTAAGAGTTCAAAGGAAGTATAAAAACAAAAAAGCAAGCTGTTAGTTGCCACCAAATCACATCTAAGATTTAGAGAACAAAAAGCTGATAGCAGAAGACTCTTCAATTGTGTAGACAAAGACGTAAAATGATCCGAGGATGAAAGCTGAAAACAAAGCCAAACAACTTCAGCAGCAAGGATAGGCACTGTGCTTTAGTTGCTTTAAACTATAAGAATAATTAGTTGCTTTAAAACTATAAGAATAATTAGACACTTAGGCACACAAGTGCTATGATCAAATTCAAGGTTGATGRAGTTCCCTCAAGGTTTCTGAATACTGGTGTCCATACACTTTATGGCAGCTAAAATCAGTCTCTGGTAATTGCATTAGGATAGAGGCTATTCCTGAGCTGGTCCACCACAATCCTAACAAAACAAAGCATTTTATTTATATGCTGCAAAATGCTCCTTCCTGCAAAAGATTGTCATTCACAACATTGCCTTCATTTTTATCTACAAGATCCAACCTAGTCAGGCCAGGTATGTCCTGTATCTGCCACCTGTGTGTACACAATCAAAATACAAGTATTTAATCAGAAGTAAAACGTGGATTTTTTAAACTTATTTCACAGAATTCTCCAAGTGTTGAGTTCAGGAAGACAAAAGAATAGCTAGCAGCTGAGGTTTCAAGTTATTTTTTGCAAGATCTTGCTTTTTTCCCTCCACYTCCCAGCTTAATCTCCAACTCATCCTGGAAAGAAAGACTGTTCTTGAAGAAAACATGCTTATATTTTCAACATAAAAAGGAAAGAGGATAGCCAGGGAAACGGATAAACATCACAGCACTCAAGGTATTTATTATTTTGCCAGTAACACTTTTGCTGTTCAACACATGCTGTTGTATCACATATATAACACACTTACAGTCTTAAGCCCAACAATTCACAGTAGTACATTCCTTACGAGCTACTTACACCAAGAGCTGCTTGGTAGGTAACTTCTGATGGGAAGGTAAATGAAGGCCCTGTTGTAACTGGGCTGCTAGGAGGTGGAGTCACAATCAGTCCTGTGGTACCAATATGAACCTGTCAAAAAAAAAAAAAAAAAAAAAAAAAAAGAGTCATTTTGAGCAGTTTTGTTGGTGTCCCCCCCATAAATAGCAGTCAAATCCCAAAGATGTGAAAACAAAACATATTTAATAGATCACATAAAATAAAACCGACAGTACTTTGTCTCTGTTACTATTTCCACTCCCAAGTTGTGATTTTTACATGAAACGATCGCTCACCAACTACTGTTACATGAGACCAAACAATAAAGCCGGAGAAATGTTTCTTCTTATAARAAATCAGATTAATATGATAGGTTTCTGAAAGTCATACAAGTTTGAGGTAAATCTAGCTTTTACTTGCATGCAGTTTATGTTCACTATTACAATAATTTTAGAACAAGAAATTAATCCCTATTATAATCACTATTATAATCATTTTAGACCAAGAAATTAWATTATTGTATTTTCTAGTTTCCATWACTTAATAATCTTCATAACACTCAAGAAATTAACAATGTTTTAAGAAAAATCCAAGACTAAAAGTATTTTTATAAATAGCTTTGTAAAAAATAYATATCTATTTTAAATCCTCTCATCTTGGAACACAGGCCTTCTGAAAAATTTAAGTTAATATTAATCAAATTAATAAACTGGAATACATAACCTGACAAAATCAGAAACCTGTATAGTTATTGTAAAACACATAATTGATGATTTCTGGGAAATTACCTGAGAAGGGGCACTACAGGAAAGGCCTGTCAGCTCACTTATGCGGGCGGCCGCCGTTGGGTTGCTGGAGCTAATGAGAACAGGAGGACTGATTTCCATTGAATGGCGATTCTGAGAAGACTGCGAAGACTTGTTGGACATAGTGAGGGAGGTAAAAGAGTGCCGTTTTTTGGTGTTCTTCTTGGTATCGGTGTGCTTTTGGGTTGAATTGTTATGGGTTGCCCCAGAGGTACCTTCTCCAGAGTCTACAGCAGAGCCTGATGGCTTATCCAATTCTATCAGCTGCTTGGCTGCTGTGTTAAACTGCAATAAATAAATAAATAAATACATAAATAAAACCAGTATTTTAGTATTATTTATAAAAATCAACTGACTAGAACACTAATTTCCTTTTTCTTCTATTCATAAGAGCAAAGAGATTGTACACCTTCTATGCTGTACAGCATAAGATCCTGAAGTGAAAATGTTTTTCTTTAAGCTTACCTAAAGTATATTGGTTCATAAAGAACYTTCCCTATTTGCTATAGCAATGTTGCATGAAGTGCAAATAAAATCTTCCTCTACAGAAAAGAAACGYGGAATCTTATAAAGTTTCTTTTTACTGTAGTTCAGCTCGAGGGAAGAAAAAAAGAAGAATGACTTGCATTTTTCACAAAACCATTATTTCCTTCACTTCAATGTTGGAATATATTCTGTGAATGAGTAACAKTTTTTACACTAATTGTTTCCAAAAAGAAGTCTCCATTTTCCAAATCGTTACAGAAACAGAAATTGGGTGGCTCATTAAACAGCTTGCCCAAGTGCCAGGAAAAAGCTTCCTCTAACCTGGATAGGTTGAGTGATCAGTTTAAAAAAAGCACTACAAACAGCTGTATTGGCTGAACCGAAGGGGCAGTTAACTGCAAGGAGCATCGAATGAATTGCCAGGGATAAGAACTTCTTAAATTGGATTTTAAAGAGCTCTTAAACCGAAGTCAGAATTTCACTGAGCTTTTTTTCTTTTTTTTTTTTTTTTAAATCATGTGTACTCTTCTCTCCCCCGAAAAATATATCTGCTGATCCTTAAAATGAGGACATTAGAAATGGAATTAATAGAATGTAGCTCAATTCTTGGCATGGTTACACCTTTCTTCTGTGTTCTGAAATACTTATTTCTCATCCCTCTTGTAACATGGAATTATTTCTGTTCTTTTATCCTTCTGTCTCATTTATTCAAAAGGAATCTCTTCAGTGCCAGAAGTGTACCCTGGCATGCACCTGTAGCATACGCTTCAGAAAAAGGCAAGCACTACTGCAAGCCTCTATGCCCTTCTGTAATGCAAATGACAATAATTATTATTGCAGCTGCACACACTTAATCACCTATTAATTTCTACGTAGAGGACAAAGTTGTGGCTTTTATCTATGAAACACTTAAAGGCTGGAGAAGCTATTTCTCAAGGACTGTTTCTCTCTGTAAACTCTCATTGACAAGTATCTCCAATACAGGAAGAGACAGGATTTTACCTAAGGGTTTGTTGGATGCAGTTCACTGCTTGACTTGCTTAGCAATATCCTATATTTTCTGACTTCCTAGTAGTACTCCTTTGTTTTTGAGAGGTAGGGATTAGTACAGTGCAAAGCTTACTATTCCTCTGACTAACTGGCTGCTTTTGCTTTGTGTGCAAGTGTCGTTTGTGACTGAGTGGATGACACAAAGTATTAACTAGAAAACCGAGTGACTGCTTCCAAGTACTTCCATTTTGCTTCCAAACAATGGAAATGGGTATCAAAAGGGTAAGCAAAAATCAAAGGTTGAACAGCTGGTGGTGAACATTCCCAAATTAAGCACACAGATTTTTCTGGTCTTGGATTATTTGTATCTCAGGCTATTATAGAATGATCATCACTACTAATTGCTTTAGAAATGCTATACATAGTTTGCAGCACTCACTTTCTACAAAATGAAATACTTCGTGGACACAACCTTACCCAGGGCCCAACTTTACTCACCTCAACGTATGAGATGGGAAATATCCCTATCTTGTCAGCCAGCATTCCTTCTGCCCAGTTTTCATCCACTCGGCGAATTACAGTCAGAACATCGTCCTGCGAGAACATGCAGTGATTATGTCTCTCAGTTCCAGTTAAACTTCTAATTTAATTCCCATCCATAGCATGGAAGCATTTGGCAAAGGCAGTATGTGGAAAAGAATTGGTACAGAAGGCATTTCATAACATGAAAATGCATCTTTGGTAACTGAAGCCATCTCCAACTGCTTCGTTTCCCATTTTGCTCAATTTTGACCAACTATCCACAGCTCACCCTGGTCATTTGAGTTTGACCACAGTAACAGATGTCCCACTACTTCATTCTGTTGTCTCCCACCAGATTTCTCTTAATTCTCTAGCATTGAGCAACAGAACCTCAATGTTTTTATGTGTCCAGTGACTCATCATTTAACCTTCCTAGAGGCTGTTTTCCTACTTGTATAAGAATTCTAGTAACTGATACAGCTTTTCAGATCTACTCTGAGCTTTTTAAAATATCGTTTTGAGAACGTTATATAAAAAGGTTTCAACGGAATATTAAACATCGCTCTCTCTATACTGAACTTATTTCATATTTAAGTTGAAGGATTTAGAAACATATACCCATAGGAAATTTAAAAATAAACCATATAGTTTGCCAACAATTTAATCAAAATTCACAAACGAATACCAGCAATTCTTGAAAGTGTTTATGTAGTAAAAAATGCTGTGTCCATATGCATTTGTACCAATTTAATGAAAAGTTAACCTTTGTTTTTTATGCTTTTTAGTCACCCTTTCCATTTAAAGAGCTGAAGGCTGAACAGGAATGTGATTAGTTTGCATTTCGTCTTATAGTATTTGTGAAACCTAATAARTTATCAAAAACTGAACAAAATAGTTCCACTCTTATTTGTGATTACAGTTTTAGTCGATTTCATTTTGTGCTTTGCAAGAGAAAAAGTTACAAAAGAAATGAAGGAAAAATGTAGTGTATCCCAAAAGAATACGCTCATCCCAATGAGTAATATTACAGAGTTCAGCAACACTTCATATTTATTAACTAGATCCTATATCATCACTTACTAAAAGAAAACTGAAAATTGATATCTATTTCAAATAAYTTTTTAAAAAATCACAATTTCTCTATAAGAGAGAGTACATTTAGTTCATAATTATGAAAAAACACATTCTCAAAAATAAACCCCCAGAGAAATTATATGCAATTTAGAAGCAAAGAAAGGCAAGACCAATGTATATAGGAGAAATATTTATAGAATTACTTGCCCTTGTTTTTTCAAGTTTTGGCATATCCATTAAAAAAAAATGCAGGCAAGACTATGTCATACCAATTYTTAGCCAAGTCAATGAATAACAATTAAACTTTGCTTTGTTTTTACCTTTGAAAATGGTAAACAGTCTTTATCTGCTTCCTTGTCTTTTACTTCAAAGTCATAAAGTGCTTTGCACTGAGGCGGAGGTTGAGGTAAAGGTTTAATAATCTGAACAAAGTTGGTAGGAAAAAAGCCGTGAACGCCATTGACTTCTCCATGATACCAATTCTCATCCACCTGCCGGCGTAAAATGATGATATCTCCTTTACTGAATTTAAGATCTCCAGGTTCTTTTCCCTCGTAGTTATACAATGCTTTGGCACATGGTAACTGAGGTACTCCCTAAGAAGAAAAATAAATCACCATAATTAGATATGTATTGTTAAGTAGGATATTTAAAGCACTCCTTGGGAGACTCTGAATGAAAATAAATGCTTAAAATTAAAAAGTAAAAATAGATGCGATGAAATTATTTTATTCTAGTGATTTTACCCAAATACACAGGAAAAGCTGGGTAACTGTATAACCTTAGCACCTTTTTCTTTACATTTCTTGATGATTTTCAGTAACTGAGTTACTGCTAGACAAAAGAAGAGGCAAAATAAAATGGTAATGTTTCACCCCTCCTGTCCAAATTCATTAAGTTTATCTGTTAAACAATTCAAAGGTAATTACTGGAAAGTATCCTGACTAGAGCATTTGAGAGATCTAACGGAACAATGCTGCAAAGAAAAACACAGTACTATGATAACACATTTGCTGTAAAACATGTAAGGCGTGTTTTCTGCTTGTCTGACTTGCTTWTTCATTTTTTTCACCTTAGCTATTTCACAGACACTGGGTGCTAAGAATGAAGACATAATGGAGGTGGTTACCAGCTTGAAAAAACAAATCCCACTCTATTAAAGATAAATTACTTTATCCTGGAACAACCTCTTTATTAATGCATTTTTAAACACAGCTAAAAACAGTCACTGACAGAAAATACAGAAAAAGAAATTCAGTTCAAGACATACATTCTTGGGCTTCAGTTGATTTCTCTGGGTCCGAAAACAATGAACAGGGCTAGCTCTCTTAGTCTCTCCTCATGCACCAGATGTCCAAGATCTTTAAATCTTCCTTATGGTCTTTTGTTGGGCTCACTCTACTACAGCCTTGTCTGCCTTGTACCACAGTGCCCAGCACTGGACACTACTGCACACACAGCATCGCAAGGTCTGAGCAGAGGGCAAGGACCATCTCCCTTCACCRTCTTGCAATGGTCTCCCTAATAGTCTCCCTTGGTACCCCAGGATACCAAKTGCCTCCTTGGCCACAAGGGCACTTTGCTGGACAACAGAGTCAACAGGGTCCACCAGGAGCCCCCAGGAAGGCCTKGCCTTTGCTGAACTTCATGAGGTTCCTCTCTGTGCACCTCACCAGTCTGCCAAGGTCCCTTCAAATGCACAGGGCTCTGGTGCTTCAGCCACTCCTCCCAGTTTTGTATCATCAGGAAACTAGAGCTGTCCTGTGGTCCAGGTCATTGATGAACTGATGAACTGGACAAGTCTGGACCCAGTGTCGACCCTGGCAGGGGGCACCGCTAGCTATGGACCTCCAACCAGACTGCACCACTGATCACAASCCTGAGCTCTGCCATTCTGCCACTTCTCCATCCACCTCACTGGCCTCTCACCCGGCCCACACTTCCCAGGCTTGCCTATGAGGGTGTTACAGGAGACAGTGCCACGTCAGGCAACATCCACTGCTCTCCCGTCACCTACCCTGCCAGTCTTTCCATCCCAGCAGGCTATCAGATAGGCTGGTTAAACACGGCTTCCCCTTGGTGAATCCAGGCTGACCACTCCTGATCACCTTCCTKCCCTGTGCCTGCCTGGAAATCCCACATGGAGTTCTAYACACAATGTCTGAGGAGAGGCACAGTGCAAGGAAATCCTCAGAAGGAATTGTCAACTAAGGAGTCTGTCTCATTAGAAAGAGGACATGGAGTGGTTAATGATGTATTTAATACTTTTAACAATTTAGATTTTGTCTTTCAGTATAATCTATTTAGAGACCCTTAATTTCTGTGTATGATTTTATAAACAGACTAATTATTTCATGAATGGACAAATAATTTCTTCAAAATTACCATATTCAGTAATCCTCTGTCAATACCAAAACGTCAAAGGATAACCATACATACAGGTACAGWTGACTATGATTTACATATGAATACAGACAATTCACAGTTCCACCTCCTGCATTCTGGACGGGTACTCAATCTATTATAGTTGCAGCTGTCATACTATTGTCCCCAACAGCTGTTGGTCTTCACACTGAGGCAAACAATATGTTTATTTAGATCACACTTAACTGCACTGGCACACATTGTAAACAATGTTCATCCAGAAACCCGAACAGGGGGAAAAAAARCTATATATAATGAATCCACTAGGGAATTTGCTGATCCTAACTGACTGAGCAGGACATTCAGGGACCAAAATAGAACAAAGAAAAAAAACAAGTAGGTGCCATCTCTTACTCCTATATGTTCAACAGAGTAAAAAGATGAAAAGAAAAGCAAGCAGYATCAGTCCTAAATTAGGAGGATCCAGTAACAGGACTCTCCCAGTGGACATGTCCACTTGTGCCAGGGAGGCAGCATTCTGTACCCTGGCACAGATGAAGCCTTAGCATTAGCTATGTGCATAAAAGAGAGGAGGGGAAAAAAAACCTTGGGGTTATTGTACAGCTTATTTTGCTAGGAGAACCAGAATAAGCTCAAGTAGCCAGAATATCCCCCACACGWATGCCCCCAAAATGCAAAACCCCTTCAAGGAAACAAATTCAGGGTCAGCAGCACCTTTATTTTCCCCCACCCTGGTCTCCCTCGCTGYGGTGCTGCTGCCTCCCGCTCTGCAGAACTGCCCTGTTCCCCACTGCTATAATAGAGCCTGTGCTGCCCAGCTCCCTGGAAAGTGGCTGGATTTACCCAGAGCATCCATCCAATTTTCACCTATTTCAGACTCACCGACCCTCTTTTTTTCCAAAAGGCCAAGAGGCTTTCCTGCAGAAGTACTGTTCATTTTCACAGAGGGAGAGAGAGAGGAGAAAGAAGAAAAAAAAAAAAAAAAAAAGATTTCTGGAATTGTTTATATGCAAAAATCAAAACTTTAACAGCCTCCACAAAAGGCTGGCCTGCTCAGACACCTCTGCAGTAGTTTGTATAGTCTGCACACTTTTTTTTTTTTTTTTTTTAATAACTCTGAGTTTCCTGAGAGCAAGTCTCTCTCAGAAATARAGAGTCACGAATTTTTGATCCATTTGATCAGAAGGGTCTTCAATTACACCAGTTCTTTGCAATTTCATTACAGCAAAGGCAGAGAAAATGCTTTGCCTTCATCCATCTTTTTCCTGTTTCCTTCTCCATACTGCTCATCTCCTAAACCRAACCAGCTACATTAATAACCAGAATGAGAAAGTAATTATTACAGATCATCTCCAATTATACAGCAAGCACAAAGGCTATAATTTCACTGCTGGAGAGGCACTTTTACCAGTATGGTCATTTCTCCCCACCCTGCAAAGAACAAGTATTTTAAAACACAAGTTAGTCCATAATAAAAGCTGCCTTTACATAGAAAGCTCTTAGTTAATAAGTTGTGGTAACTGTATCAGTCAGCTTGTTTGCAAGGTAGATTTGGATTGAGTGATTTTCCCTCTGTACATATTCTCTAGTATATGCAGGCACTTTTGAGATTTCATTTCAAGCTGACACTCAGAAAACGTTTTCAAATACAGTACTGCTTCTCTAATCACCTAATGCCTTCCCCTACAAATTGTTACTTCTTGCTCAGATCTTCCCATTGCATTTTTTGTTTGTTTCTTTGTAAAGAAGCYGAGAGCAATCCTTGACTGTGTTGTTCCTTTCTCATTCTCTATGGCTTACACCAAGCTGCCCAGTTCTATGTGCAAAAACATCTCATTTTGTATCTACATTTTTTGGATCTCTTTAATCTTGCCAACTCCAACACATGCTTTTAAGTTCTTAACTTAAAACTATCTGATCTGTTCTGGTTTGCACTGCCATTTCTTTTTTTTTGATCTCCTTTGTTCTTTCTGTACCTACATTTAAGTTTTCACAGAGCTTATATAAAGAATACTTTACTGAACACTTTCTTAAACTACTTATATTAATATCCACAAGTAAGATTTCCTTCCGAAGGAAAGAAACATGCTCGCTATGTTAAACTATGCATCTATGCACACACTGCTGTCATCTGAAAATATTAAATCATTAAATAATCTGTTTTGCTGAACACAGCCACCTACAGGCTCTAACATCTGACGCTATAAATCTCTCCATTTGTTTTTTTTTTTTCTGGTCCAGAATTCAAAGGTTCTCAGTAATCCAAGAACAACATTAAACACTGGCTCCTGGCATTTATTTTACTCCTACTCGGAAGGATGCAGGGAAAGGCAGATTTGTCCAAGGCAAGGTATGGCTAGAACTGAAGTGTTATTAATCTACACCTAATGGCAAGCTGTCAGTGCAATCAGTTGCCTGTGTTCGCTTTATCATCCTTTCCTGGAAGACCAAAGACTGCAGAGACATCAGTGTGAATCAAACGGTTTTGAGTTACAGAGCTTCTGAGGTATCTTTTATATATATCCATGCTAAAAATGAAATGCTTCTAGGTCAGAAAGTGGCATCAGGTTGTCACATACTGCAGGAACCACACGAAAAYTCTGGGATTATCTGAAGAGACTTGTTATTGCCCTCCTGAATACAAGGAACTGAGCTAAAACAGCCAACTTGCACAGCAGTTTACTGGATTAAGGAAGTGAGCGACTTTAGTGTTTATTTAGTTTTATTAGTTTCTTATTATTTATTTGTACTAAATTTCATCTGTCTCAATATAAATACACAGTAAATAATCACACGTTACTTAAAAGAGTAAGAAGATTTGCAGTTGTTTTGAAATGCCGTATTTGTTACACTTGTTTAGCTTCTACTTAGTATAACCTGATTTTAATAAAACCTCTTTTTAAAATCAAAAAAGAAGAAACTACATCAAGAGGGCACTAGTTAGTAAAATTACAGTTTGCTAGACTAACTGGATTTGAAACCTATCTGTGTGCAGCTTAAAAATTACCTGCGTACAAATAATAAATTTTAAGAAAATGGGGAGGGGGGAAGGTTAATTTTGCTCTTGCTAACTGCACAAGGTAGTTTCAGTGAATCCCTGTATTTTCTAACAGAAAGGTAGTCCCTCCCATGACTCAAATATCATTTTTGCAGGAACTTTTGAGGTAAGCTATCAACGGCCTACTGAAAGGGATGGCGTCAGTCAGCAGGA